GGGTAGTGTAGATGGTTTTGAGGGTTTCTGAGCATCTGCCCAAGCTCTGCTGTCAGGTTTTGGCAAGACAGAGTCCGAGTACTGTTGTGGAGGGTGATGAGGACCTATCAAAACTATTTATGCTGCCTAATTATCAGTCTTGCATTTGTATGGAAAAGCAGTGAGTGGGCAGAACTCTTCTTGTCATCAGTCTTGGATTTCGCTAAGAATGCAGTATGGGCACAGCCTTCGAGTTGTAGAAATATACCTTGAAACAATTGAGTATGCAAAGCAACTAAAATACTTCCAGAGTTTGGAGTTGGCATTTCCATAATTCTCTGTCTCTTGGTGGCATGGTGCTGGCTCGTTATTTCCAGCTGCTAAAAATACATGAAATTCTTTCCTAATATTAGTTTTCCGTGTAAGCAAATGCTTTGGCTACCATGAGGATTTTTAGCAATCATGAATGGAATGGAAGGTCAGCCATGCAACTGCGAATAGGATGGCAGATGGTTCAGTGAGGAAAAAAATGGCTTTATTAAAATGTCTATATTGTGAAAAAGTTTAAGAACCTTAGCTCTGAAGAATACATATTAGTGATTTTGGGGAAGATGTTAAACTGGGTGATTAACAGCCCTAAGTAGCAAAAATTGCAGTTTGTATCTCCAGTATTTTTTCTGTGGTCAATTTTTTTAGTTGTGCAAATGAGCACGGATGAATTTGGGTCACATTGAAACTGAGAGAAATTCTGCCACTGACTTGATTGGAATCTGTATTTTCCTGTAGTACAGTCACCCATATATAAAGTTGCTGTTTTTGTCTACATGCTAAAGTTAAACACCGCATGTAACAGTACAAAATACTCTGTATCAATAAGGCAGAACTTGTTGAAAATAGAAAATCTTTCTTTAACCCATACCTTTCCTGGGCCAAAAAAATGTACATGAAGTAAAAATTGTTATATTGTATGTATTTTCCCTTTGTAAAACTCATGGGATACAAGACCTTTTCTTTTTCCATTACAAATAGACCTGAATTATAATTATCCCTACTTTATATAACTGAATCAGTTCTTTTAAAATTTTAAAGAGCTGTGACTAGTATTTCAGTTAAAAGGAGTTTCCATTTTTCTTATTCCATTTACGTGATTGTAGAAGCTAGATTATTTTCTGATCCAGTGTTGGGACATGAGATTCTTTGAATTTTGATCTGGGTTCATTTAATGCCATGAGACAAAAAGGCCCCCTTTTTATAAAATAAAATGCTGCTTTTGCTTTGATAATACTTTAAGCTTTGAATCTCACAATTTTTTTCTTACTTTTGAGATGTTTCAGTTAAGTATGATAGCGGAAATGCTTAATGTTTCAGTGAATACAGTGATATTTTAATTCTTCTACTTGCTTGTTTCCAATAATGTTTTTTGTGGGGGGAGTTGGGTAGCTTCTTGTTTTTGGCATGATTCTTGAACCCTTAAATAATCTAGTATATGCTTACTACACAGGAGGCAGTTCTATTGATATTTTGGGTCAAAATTCACACATTTCATTTATTTATTTATTTACATTTGCCTGACTTACGGCCTTTTACTATATCTGCAGCATGAACCTCTAGGGAATCTCGCAACTTGTTTTCATATAGCTAAAATGCCTGCCACCCTAAATTTATGATTAAAGAAGCGTATACTAGCATGTTCTAGTAAGTATATCAGAGCTCTGATATACTCTGAAGTTGATATGGCTGGTGCCATAGAAACTTGGCCACGAACAGATGTTCACTTCTACTGGTACAAGTCTTTCTGGGAGGGGGAGCGTACAGGCTTTCAACCTGTGGCCACCCCCTTCTCCCCTGTTTTCTGCATCTTCCCAAAACTGGGCTGATCCCATTCTGAGGAAGGTATGGGAACCAGTGCCTGCTCCGCTCCATCTGGTCCCTGCGGGGATTGGAGCAGTGGGTAAAAGACTCCCTGCATCTTCCATAGACAGGAGTTTGGGTAATGAACAGGAGCACTTCCACTCTGCTCTTCTGCCAGAAACCAGGAGCAGAGTGAGCACTGGGGGAAAGCCCCTAGCCCTTTCCCCGTACAAGGCAATGCTTGCATGGGGGAAGGTGTAGGAAGAAACGGCAGCTGCTCTCCACCCCTCCCAGACCACATCTGTGGGACCAATCTCTCTAACCCTTTTCCTAAGCCAGTTTGGGAAAGAGCTGGGAGCAGATGGCAGCTGCTCCTCCCTGCCCTCACAGTCTTTGGGAGGAGGCAGAAGCGGTTGCCTCCTTGCAGCTTCTCCATACGGAAGTTGGGTTGGAAAAGTATGGGGTTCTTTTGCTGCAGCTCCTGGGAGGACTTAAGCCACAGGAAAATGTGCAAACATTCATTCTTCCAGGAGAAACTCTCCCAGAGTTGTAGTCAGGCTATTTTTTTCCCAGAACTGCCACTTTTATTACATGAGAAAAAGATGGAATGTCTGTACATGGACTTCAGCAGTCCCATACTATTTTCATGCAAATGCTGAACCTTCCTTGGGGAGACTAGATTAGCAGCACAAGGGAGTCCATTTTGGCTCTTGGCAATAAAGGCCACTATTGAAGTGTAAAGCTCTTCTAAATACCTAGCATAAAAGTTTGTCTTGAAACAAAAATAACAGTTCAATAGCATGTTTATCTATGTGCTCCCCAAGGGTGACAGCTAGATGCAAAGTGTAGGTAGGTAACCCAAAAGTTACGAGTTTAATAAAGAAACTGTTACATCTTGTATTTGTAACTAAGTTTGGTTTTCTTCTTAATCCTGTTCCTGTTTTGTTTTATCCAAGTGTTTGGTTCTCTTAATATTTAAATTTTAATTTTGTTCATTACTGTTTTCTCTAAGTTATCTTTAAATTGCTTACTAATATTATGATTTCAAATATTATCTCTGTTTATTTTGGATAGTTTAAACCAGCTTGTACGTGTCTGTTTAATAGGATTGTCTGCAAAATGCATGACTTTATTTTTCAGGAGTCTACTTTTTGCTTCAGAGAATGTAAAGGGGCAATTTGATACTTTTCCATATAGTTAAAAAATCTACCAAATTTTATTTTGGGCCGGGCTGTTGTTTAGAGGTGTAAGCTTGTATCTGTCTCTGCTTGAACTTCAGAATTCCCTTTTATCCAAGTTGTATTATTTCCAGGTGCTCAAGTGAGGCAATTGCATTTTTAAATGCCCCTTTTGTATGCATTTTGTAAATGGGTGTGTGTATGTGTGTGCATCTCAAATTGCAATCTTATTGAAATATGGTATCAGTAATTGGGTTTTTTTGTTGTTCGTTCGTTTGTTTTTTAGTGTCACGTGTGCATTCAGGTGCTCTGACTGACAAAGATGTAATCTCAAGAGAGGACCATGAATTGGAAACTGAGAAGTTAGAGTTAGAAATTCAGCACTGCAAAGAAATGATTAAAACTCAGCAACAGCTCTTGCAGGTAGGAGTCTTTTAGCTGTACTTTCTCTTTTTTATTTTCCTCTGTATGAATTCAAGTCTGACTTTATGGATCTTTCTAACCACTTTTGACTGCTGTTCCTTTCATTGGGATATTCCTTTTTTTATAAATTTAGATGGCGATGAGGGTGATGGGTATGATTACTGCCTGAGAACAGTCTTTTTTGTGGAACTGTGCAATGTGAAAGGCAGTAGCAATGCATAGCGGGTGCACAGGAGTGCACTTTCACCCCCTGAGAGCGTTGGTGCACCCCCTGTCAGCCAGCCTTCCTGGGCAGGCAGGAGCGCTGGTGCCCCCCCAAGAGTGCCAGCTGGAGAGTGCTCCAAGAGAAGCGGTCTCCCCGCAACTGATCCCGCCGACCTGGAAGTGCCCTGACCTGACTGTCCAGTCAGGAGGCACCAGTCTCCCATGGTGAAAGGAGAACTTAAAGAAGGCAAATAAAGAAGTTTAGTGCCCTATTGAGTGAGCAACCCTCACTTACCTTCCAAGATGTTCTGAACAGGGTACTGACATTTTTTCAGTGTTTATGAACTGAGAACATCTGTCAGTGAACAACCCTGTTTTATATTGGTTGAAATAAACTTTTGTTAGTTTCTAAATCCTGAATTTGTGGAAATATTGCAAAGTCTGAATGGTGATTTCTGAAAATATTTGCTTCTTGCTCCTTATTTCTGCAGCAGCAGCTTATGTCTCCATGTGATGACGATACCACTGTGTTACTACAGGACTGTTATTTGCTGGAAGAAAGGGAACGTCTCCAGGAAGAATGGAAACTATTTAGAGAACAAAAAAAGAACTTTGAGAAAGAGCGAAGAAGTTTTACAGAAGCTGCAATTAGACTAGGACTTGAGGTATTCAGAAGAGAGGGATCTTAATAGGATATTTAAGGCTGACAATTAGTAAGTCTTGTAAGCAATTTAATCTAGATAGTGTTGGAAATACGCATTGTGTGTGTGGTGTTACAAGTTTGCTGTTTGTCTTTCTATAGAAAGGTCTCTTTCTCTTTTGCTTTTTTCTTGTAATACATGCAAGGACACTCTGATAGATTAATTTTTTGCCTGTTTGAGATTACAGTAGAACTCCAGCTCTTTGGTAGAGTTAGGTTCTGAACTCCACTGCAGATGAGCGTTTGCAAGCTAATTGGGAGCTATATAGCCACAGTAAAGAGCTGCTGAGGACTGTGAAAGTATGTCAGCTGTTTTCTGCAGCTTTTGTTTTAAATAGCATTGCTTCTCCAGTTGTGACTGTGCCAGTGCTGCAGCTTATCAGAGAAGTAGTACCCTTGGAAGTAAAAGCTGCAACAAACAGCTGAGCTGTTCATTCTTGCTTTGGCACCTGCAAAGTATCCCAAAAAATCTGGGTTCTGCTGTATTATGTTTTGCAAATAGGCTTTGGAAAACACAGTTGCTTGAACTGGGATTATTACTTTGTACATGTCTTCTATAAGCATAGACCCAGGTTTGGAAAAATCAGGGTGTCTTGTGATAATAAGGTCGCATATTTGGGTACCTAGATAGTGGCAGTAGTAGCCTAAAATTAGACAGTCACTTTTTTTTGTCCTGGGATCAACAGTGGCCACAAAGCAATTGTGACAGTGCTGAGGGCTGCAGGACACACAACTTTTGGGATGCTCAAGCCTGAGAGTTGATGATCTATGTAGAGCACCACAGCTCACATTGTTAAATGAATTTTGAGAATAAATAAAAAGTGAAAAATGAAGAAAACTAATACAAAATAATAAATGAACATGGAGCACTTATACACATGACAGAACTCTGTTCCAGTGTGCGCTAATTAGCACACATCAGAGCAGACTTGGTTAACTGTGCTAATTAGCGTGCTCTAGCAGCCTCTACATCACATGTATTCAGCATCCCCACATTTCAAAATGGCGGTGGCTTAACTAAAGCTTGTCGTATACGTCTTAGTTAAAGTGTTCCCACTGCCATTTTGAAGCATGGGATGCTGAATACATGTGATGCCCCCCACCACCTCCTTTCATCCTGGAACAGGTGTATAGGTGCCCATCAGTAGCACTGATTCACATTTTATGACTATTTCAGTCCAGTAAAATGTTCTCTAAACTTTCACTTTACTTTGAAAAATATATTTTTCAAATAATCTGTGCATATTTTTCAGTAAGATGAATTACAGGTTCAGTACTGATTTGACCAGAATTAACTAAGCTCTAAAGTCAAGATTGAAGTACAGGGGTGTTTTAGAAATTAATAGTGAAAGGGCTGCCTATGCTGTATGTCTGCAGCAAAGTGGGAAATTATACAGTGCTGGGGAACTCTGGCAGCATTGTTGAATGCACCTATTGTTTATAATGTAGGGAAGTGATGTAGTCCAGTAAATGATCATTGCACAACATAATGGTCTTACTCCTAAATTGCCCGTAGTTTCTGAAATACCATTGTATAACTGTAATCCTCTGTGCATCAATTTTGTTTCTATTTCTTCTTTTTATACTTTGACAGTATCTATACTGTGGTTTTTCAAAAAATTGTAGCATCTCTTGTGCTTGGAGTTCAGTTTTCTGTTCCTCCAGTGTGCCTAGGAGGAAGAATTTTGGATAGTGGGAGAATTTATTTTTGTATCCTTTCTCCTCCCATGGTACTTCTGGTTTATCTGCCACTTTCAGAGATAGTGTAGCTCTCTCTGTATCACAGCCACCTGGATGTAGGGTGTCTGGCATCAGTATCACTTCTCTTCATCTTAAGGAAGAAATCCTTCCTGTTCTTCCTTCATTCTAGATTTGGGTGGGAGTAGTCACAAGTACTTTCTGATTCTTATTTCCCATTCCAGAAGGCATTTTGGATTGAGGGATGAGCAGTGGTCCTTCTTGGCAGGTCCATGGAAAGTGAGTGTACCATATAGCTGGTAGTGTCATACCCACTCAAGTCCAGGAGGCAGTGGAAAGAGGTCATGTGCCACTAAATAAGGCAATAGTAGAGCAAAGATATATTTTAAATAATTTTTTTAGGCAGGTCTTTGTGAACCAAACCACCCTTGAAAATAACCCTTGTCAGACTCTGTCAGCTGTAGTTCTGTGTTAAGTAGCCTGCTCCCCTTGCATATGAATGAATTGCCCTTCATGGTTGTAGATGCAAAGTATGTTAATCAGTATAAACAAACTACTGTCTGTACAAAATATATTGGTATTCCTTTTTTAGAGGCAGGCCTTTGAAGAAGATAGAGGAACATGGCTGAAGCAGCAGTTTCTAAGCATGACTTGTGATTCCAAGTACTCGGAAAATGTGAAAACTCAAAGTGCTACCTCAGGAAGCAAGTATTTAATTCAGTCTTCTAAATAGTTCTTTTACTGTGTCCTCTCTTAGCTGGAGGATACATACAAAAACATTTGTAAAAATACTTTATTTCCCATACAAATAAAGTTTGTCTACGTGGAAGGTAGGACAAGTGAATGCACATATCTTGCTTGCATATGAACTTTGAGAAGGGACCTGGTGAAAATCATATACATGCCAAGAGAGTTCTTTGGAAGTAACGAGCATAACGAACTGCTGAATTAAACGAGTCTCTGTGAATGCTAATAAGAAAGGAAAGTAAGATGACATATAGAGATCGAAAAAGCAAGAAATACGGGTTGAAAATAAGAATATCATCCTGGAAAAATTGGCTATTACGTATGAGAGAGATAATACAAAATATACAGTTTATTCAGTGGAACATTCCTGTTGGAAAATGGTAGTAGTGAAAGAGATCTTCTTGGTGGATGATGAAAAAAGGAATTTTTCTCTGTTACTTATGATTTTCTTGCAGGATAATATCCAAAGTTTTTTGGGATGAATATGACTTCCTTTGGAAATATTTATGGTGAAAGGGATGTTTTCTAAAATATATTCTAGAATAAATATGTTTCATATTGCACAGTAGTTAGAAAAATATTAATTGTATTTCTATTACTTCCCCCTCTTAGGAGCATGGGATTAACTTTTTGACTTCTGAATTTGTATGTATAGTGTTGGTGTGCACTCAAATACAAGTTGGAGAACTCCCTTCTCGTCAGTGTAGATGCAGAAAAGGATCTTGGAGTCATTATTGGTGCCAAAATG